GGCTCTGACGGCATACACCAACTATTCCTCAAGATGTTGGCCGACTAAATCGCCGACCAAATGTCAGAAGTATTCTGGCTCTTACTTGCAGAGGGCCGTTTACCTAGCGCTTGGAAAGTAGAAATAGTAATGCCTAAATACAAAGGTCACCAGAAAGACCCTGCGAACTACCGCCCGATTTGTCAGACTTTGAACCTGTTCTCCATGGAGTATCGCCGCCGTCGCGGAGATCTCTTCTACACCAGACGCATCCTAAGGAGACAGCTTGGATGTGAGCTTCAGATCTTTCATCTAAGTGTGAGCAGCTGGAGACAAATGGAAAGTATTTAAAACGAGGACACTTCGTACGCGTACGACAGCTGCCTTCTCTTCCAGGGTGGTAAATGATTGGAACAGTCTGCCGAAACACATCACTGACTCGCAGACAGAGGAAAGTTTCAAGATATTGCTATACGCCCATCGCAATGAGGCTGGACCTTACTGTGGTGCGATGGTTTGTGTGCTTCAGTGATCCATTGAGCTATGCTGGGTGGTGCTTTTCTGCACCTTCAGATTCACTCATACCAGATTGGTCAATGGTTAGAAGCTAGACAAACTCAGCCTCCTGGTCCTCCAGGTTGGGGGTTGGAATGAGGGTGGCTCCTTATTCCTTAGAACGGACTCCTTGTATCCCAACGCCAAACCCGCTGAATGGGGTCAGGTTTTTTAACCAAAGACTGGTTGAGAACCCTAATCGTTCTCCTGTTTAGGCCTGGGAAACCTGACAGTACCCTGTCCACGTAATCCTATGAATGTTTCCTCACACAATGCTCTGGCCACCGCAGAGGATAATCAACGGTACCCTATCTGCTGCATCGAGCAGAGTGGATAGGGGTTTGGATGCTACTGTGCAAGCCTTCCCGTCTTCTTATTCCCCCACTTACGCTTTTTCACCCTTATCGTCCCGTTCCAGCTTCACTTTTATCCCACTGTTTCAACCCTGCAATTTTTGGCCCTTCCCCACTTGGCCGCAATAGTCGCTTGGCTTCTAGTTTCAATTCACATGTGAACGCGGAGCGTCATTCCTGCCCTGTCAACAGGCATATGCCCAAGCAAACGGCCAAACCTAGTTCCTGGACTTCCATTTGGAGCCCCCGATCCGCCTTTAGATTGGCATGTCTCAATGTACGCACATCGCCTCAGATCCGTCAATAGGCAGCACTTAGAGACCCTCTCGATCGATATATGCTGCTTATCAGAGACCAGCTGCATGACTCGAACTCTGCAATCGCTCTGCGATCCCCTTCAGGTGACACCAGCAGTACTTTTTCATTGCGCCTGTCTGGTGACAATGTAGCTTCCAATACCGGCCAAGCCGGTGTTGGTATCGCCCTGAGTCACCGGGCTGAAGCTACTCTGGTTGATTGGATTCCAATTAGTAGACGGGTGTGTGCGGTCTGATTGGTTGGCTCATTCAAAGCTTCGAAAGCGCGTAGGACTAACAGATGTCTATTCGTCCTCGCTGCCTATACACCGATAAACTCTAGCGATGAGTCGGTAAAAGACGACCTCTGCCGCCAACTGAACGAGCTCGTTCGCCACAGAAGAAGCCCGGACACTGTAGTGCTGGCTGGGGATCTGAACCTTCAAGTTGTATAATTATCCGCTGATGAACTGCACCTGGGCGGCCAACATGGTGTAGGATCCCGTAATGATAACGGTGAGTGGTGACTTCATTTGTGTGAAGATGCTTGCTTATTTTTTGCGAGCACTAATTTCCGACACTGCACCTGCCAGAGGGTGACTTGGCGCTCACCAGCCTCGAAACAGCTATGGACGCAAATCGATCACATTGCGATAAGTTACGGATGGAGAGGTTGCATCCAGAACTGTCGCTCGATTTGGAGCAAATGTGTAGACACCGACCCTACACTTGTATGTGCTGACCTGCGGATGTGCTTCGGCGGACGTCCACGACGACGTTGTGACCGTATTAACATCAGCCAACTGGCGAAGCCAGCTGTTTTGAATGCCTATCAAAGTACGCTGTCACGCGAGTTTAGTAAGTGCTCACTGGAGACAATTGAAGCTCAATGGTCTCACATTCACCAGACATTACTAGCAGCAGACAAATCCTCATGTGGTATGCCTAATCACCAACATGGACATTCCGGCTGGAAGCGAACACAATGAAACTCGCAATTAGAGCTCCGGGCAAAACTATGTGCTAGCCTGAAGAGAGACGGCGAATCCTGGTGGTCGCATCGTGCATCGGAGATGGAAATGTCCGCTGCCCATGGTAACTATCGGAACTTATTCCGTCTGATACGGGAAATTGGCAGCAGGAGACCTAGTGTTAGTGAAACTATACGTGACGAGAGTGTACAGTCTATCCACAACTTGTCAAAACGCTTGGAGCGTTGGGCTGAGCACTTTGAAAGGCAATTTAATCGGTCGGAATTGTTAGATTTCTCGCCTACCACTGATCGCCCCGTTCCCTGGGCTGTCCTTTTGGATCCACCCTCTCGCTCAGAAGTCGAACGTGGGATCGGACTGTTGGTTAAATAAAGCCGCGGGGCCAGATGCATTGCCTGCAGCCCTCTTCAAATTCGGGTGACCTGCACTTGTGGATGATTTATACGAGTTACTAGTGAACCACTGGGAGCAAAAACTGTCCCAACCGACTGACGCCGTTCCGTCATAGTCACAATTTTCATGGGAGGCTAACGATCGGAATGCGGCAATCATAGAGGAATAAATCTGATCACCATCGCCTCCAAATTGCTTGCTTCTGTCATCCTTTACAAACCGACTGGCACTCGTGAAACCATATTCGTGTAAAGCAAGCCGCGTTTCGTCGAGGCCGTGGCTGCATTGACCACATCTTCACATTACGTCAGTTGTTGGAGCGGCCCACCGTTGTCGTGTCCCTCGATATCAAAGGTGCATTTGATTCGGTAGAGAGACGTGCAGTTTGGGAATGTCTACTCAGGAAAGGTGTACCTGCGAAATATGTAAGTAGTATCCGAGCATTATACGCGCGTAGCTCAGGCAGTGAGGGCTTATGGCAAGCTATCGTCACCCTTTAATATCTCCAGTGGTGTGAGAAGGTTGTCCGCTGTCACCTTTCCACGCTATAGACGAACTAATGGAAATCGCGTTTACAGGACACGACTTAGGTGTGGATCTGTTCCCAGAAGAACCAATTCTGGACTAAAGTGCGCAGACGATATTGCCCTAATCTGTGAAAGCTCACAAACGTGCCAAGCGGCACTGGACAGATTAGCACTGGCTGTCCGTCACTTCGGGCTGTGCTCCGCACCCTCGAAGTGCAAAGCGTTCCTCCAAGATTGGCCTGGATCGCCACCTTCGCTGACCCTTGGTGGGGATCAGCTGGAAGTCGTTCAAAAATCCAACTACCCGGGAAGTTGTATCACTGCCAGTGGGATTGAAGATGAGATCACGAATCTTATAGGAAAAAATCGAGGCGAACTGACAAACTTCGCCACTTATGGCGAAGAGGCGACATCACTCTCTCTGAAGGGTAGTGTACAATGCAGCAGTACGTTCGACCCTACCGTACGGTTGTGAAACCTGGACCCTTAGATCAACGGACTTAAAGAGGAGTTACCTTGGACCATCGGAGCCTTCGCAATTTAGCTCACATCTGGTGGGAACACAGTGTGAGCAATGGGCGTGTTCGACTCCTTGTTTACAGCACAGGAAAAGGAAATGAACCGCTGAGCACGGTTATTTCACGCACCAGGCTCCGATGGCTCGGCCGCGTGTAACGCATGTCAGCCCACTGACTCCCGCTACGTAGGTTGTTTGCGCGCCGGCGGTGTGGATGGAAGAAGAGTGGTGGCCGAGCGATGACTTGGTCGAGAGGAATGAAGGCCATCACTTTGAAGGTGGCCTCAGTTGGAGCGTCTCAGCACACCGGTTGGGGTCCGAAAGACGAACACGTTTGGCTGGATACACATGCTGATATGGTTAGAGACGGACCTCAGTGGCGTTCGTGCTGTGTTTCTTTGTCCCACTCCCCCTCCAGCCGCGATCTCACCACTTAGACTTATATAATTTTATATAGTAATTTTCTTGCTGCATAGTAGCCGACTGGTAGCTTACCGGAACGATGTCTATCCGTTACCGGTAGCTCAGCTGGTTTTCACCCGTTGCAATAATTTCTCTCCTTTTTCTGTATTGCGGCACAGTAGTTGAGTTGTTTCCCACCTCTAGCTAAGGTGTACAGTGATAATGACGATTGCTAAACACCCATCTAACGCAAAAGGCAGGGTCCTGTTGCTCTTACTTCAAAGGTGAAGATCTCCGAAGGTGTAAGGTTGTCCGATAGCAAGTACCCATCTTGCGATGATTTGGGACCGATGGAGCTGGCAAGGGATCTCCCTCTTGCTTCCAATATTCCAATGTACTGTAAACCAAACTTACCTAACACCAGCCACAATGTCTCGCGGTTCACCGTATCAAATTCCTTGGTGAAATCAACGAAAAGCGAGTACAACGGCTGGTGTTCTTTATACTTTTCCTGTGTACATAATATATATATATATATGTATATATGTACATATATATATACACATATATATATATATTGTTGAAGTGAACTTGTATTCTGCACCCAAACAGGAGAAGCACGCCGAGTGCCTAGTCGATGTGCGTGCTTAAATGTTCGCACGTCATTCGGAGGTTACAAAATACTGATATACTGTCGCGTTTAATGACTGGGATAAAGTTTAACAATCGCTAAAGCGGTGGAAACAACGGCAGCGATTACGGTTTACCAAATATCTAGAATGAGAATAAAGTCGTCCAGTCAGTTCTTCGTTTCCGCTGGATGCAATATCAAAAGTCGACTAAGCGGGTATGCACTAAATTTCAGGTCCCTATGACGATACAGGCCTACGCTTAACGAGCGTCATGTTCCTTGCACCGGTAATCGAACAAGAGCTCCGGGTACGTGAAGTTGAGGGAGAAAACAAACAAGTACAATAGTAACTAACCATTAATTTTCGAAAGGCGTAGCTTTGCTGATTCCAACTGAGTGAGCATGTTGGGGAACAAGTCGGTAATTGCTATGGACCATGTGATAAGCAAGCGTGGAGCATACGTTTTGTTTCCGCCTGTCCCGAAACTGCAAACACGTTCGCCTGAGGCGAAGCTTGGACCTTTGGATTCTTGAAATGAATCATCATGCCGTCAGATTTATACATAATGACCTGGAAAATGAAAGAAATGTAGTTAAACTACCTCCTCGATGTTAGAGATATTATTAAGACAAAGCTTCTTCATGGTACACTGCAGTTTTTTATCGTCAACATATGCACTCTTGTGTACAACTTTCTTCTTACGTCTGGCTGTCCCCTTTCCACCAATCCGAACCTGATCGCTCATGCTCCTAAACTTCTCTATTTTCTCTGACCGAATCCTATCCAGTTCCATCACGCAAGGAATTAGTCGCACTGCAGACTGTAGTGCTCACAGAGGAGCAAAACGGTAGATTGGATTTGTGTTTTCCGGTACGCCTGCCATTCTTGGTGCAATTGAGCGGTCCGGTTTTCAAAACAGAATTCATATGCTTGCAGTAAGCCTATGTATTTAACTGTATATATAATGAATAGTGTGTGCTGTGTCAGTAGTTATTCGTTTTTTCTCTGAGAAGTTCTATTCTTTCCACTACTTAACCCATAGTACTCACTTTTTATAAAATTCCGTATAATTACACTTATAAGCATACCTTCGTTATTGCACCGTTATTGCTGCTTTAATCATTTCGAATTTAATTTTTATTTCACATGAATAACACTGTCAGCTGTAACTAGAGACCTCTGTAGCCAAACGCTTCCTAACCGTGTGAGCACGAGTTCAGAGTAGAAGGGGAGACCCAACCCTGGTGGCACAATCGTAACAGCAATCGTTGGGAACCGGTAGCAAACAGTACGGCTGTCCTGTTTGTTAATAAAATATTATTCTTAATAGGTGGCAATTAGTTTGATTATTTATGATAGAAGCAATTGGTGTGTACGAAGAAGGCATTGTAACTCATTAATTGTTCCAGTGGTGGACGTCGTTTAACTAGATGATTAGGCAAATTTATTTTGGGCGGTGCTACGTTTTGTGCTGATCCAATACTTCATTTTCTGACGTCCTTTCGTTTATTTCTAACTCCATGTATCACGTTGAGACACAAGTCACCTTTATTATACTCTTTACGAATGTTAGAAGCATGATTATCGCCAAAAAATATGTAAACCGAAATTACCAAGGCATGCTACATTGCGGTATTAGCAGGCGATTACGCAACATTCTGATTGGCCACAGGAGGATCATTTTGCTTCATGTACCGTACACTGTCAATTCAAGTTTCAGTAAGCTCACGGAGCACGTTCCTGTGCCGTATAGACTTATATTTCTTTAGCTCTTCTGAAGCAGTGCCCATATTACAAATCGCTAAATTAGCTAGGGGAGAGCAGCTTTGTGGACTGAGTCCAGCTAGCCAGATATAGAACGAGTGCAGAATGGACCACGAAACCATGGCATTGGCTCAGGGAAATTAAACTTGACAAAATCAAGGTTTTGCCGTCTCAAGGATCACGTTCCTGTTCAGTTTGACCCATACGTTTTAGGGCGCTTATCAGGACAGGAAGTCGACATGTGCTACTAAGGTTGTTAGCCCACCACTTGCAGTTCAGCAATGAGCGCACTTATATCAAACCTACCCAGGGGTCCTCAGGGTTCCGGAGCAGTCGCCTCCGGACCGTGCTGCGCTAGTGTTTATCAAGGCAAATGAAGCCATGACAACAATTCGCTTTTATGCACACGTGAAGTATAAATTTTCGGCTGTTACACACGTGCGATCAAAAGGTAACGAAAAGCGGGATAATACATTTAGAAAACTATAAAATCGGCGGCTATGACGAGGTTTCACGCGTTGTACAGGAACCCTAACATACTTCGCTGTTTAGTTCTTGACTGATGATGATCTGACCATGGGGAAATCTAGCTAAAATACTTACGACAGATGTGTAGGCGGCACGGGTAAGGGCATAATAGCTCTGTACTTTGGTCTCGTTTACGAAGTGGATTTAAAATTGTATAAAAGCTATGCAAATCTAATTGCGATTTTGCGTATGAATTAACCTGAGCAGATGCAAATTGTTAACCTACCGAGCGTTTAGAAACCTCTGGCTCGATATATAAGTTAAGACTACCTATGAAGTCGTTTGAAATACTTACTCAGTAGGCCGGCATCCATCACAGGAAAACAGTAGGTCCAGTTTTGTAAACCTCATGCAATCAAGAATCACAGGATCAAATGGTGGAAGGCTGAGGACGTGAGACGTAAAAGGACAGTCGCCTGTCTATGTTGAATAGTTAATTCACGTGATTTGACCACGATAAATTATAGCTCAGTATGATTCCCAGGTACTTTACTGACGTCGAGAAGCTTAGGCTCTTAACATTTATGTGAACTTGGGGGCATTCGGCGACCAGCTTCTGGTAGCAATCTGCCTTATGCGCCTGAAACAGCAAATCATTGCACTTGGAAGCATTCCTCATTAAGCCGCGGGGGTTTGACCAACGCAGGATTCTATGCAAACAATGTTGTAGCATAGTCGAAGCGGATGAAGGTAGATGATTCACGCCGATTAGCACAACCTCAGTGTAGTTTAGCATTATGGCATTTTCAGGGACACGGATGGAGTCTACTCGGTAGACAATAAACATGGCGACAAAATGGCTCCTTTGAGGACACAGGAAGTATTGGGTCAGAGGCAAGGAGCTCCTGCCATGGAACCTGGTTATTGAGTAATTTTAGCAACATAATGCTATAGCAAGTAGGCAATGGATAGTTGGATCCCAAACTCACGAAATAGGGTTATTGTTGCATTGGTGTACAGGGAGCAAGCTGGGGAACCCTTGTCAGCGCCGTTGATTCCGATTCCGTGCTGGCTTGACGCGACTGGCTGCGACGCAGCTTTCCTCTGGGGATGATTGCAGTTGCAGTAGAAACAACGGTGCCCAGCCGTACTTATCAGATGGCAATCAAATCGCTGTTTGAAGCTTTCCTCTATCTGGGCATCAGCAATGATCTCCGGCTGGCTGTTCCCAACATTCACTACACAAGTTGATAGGTCAGCTTCTGGACGGACGGTATGCAATCGGCTCTGATGCAACTCTCACTTGCGGCCTCATGTCCACCTGTTCGAGTGGAGCCAGAAGTGCTTTTTGACCGCACTCCCAACTGCTCCTCGTAGAAAGAAAATTTTTCCACGATACCGACGATAAGCCATTGAGAATAGCTTCAGCCTTCGGAGTCGAAGAGCGTAAGCAAGAGCTCGATGCCAACGGGCGGATTTCGAACCACGCTGCTGAACTCTTGCCAGCAAATCGTGTTCAGATGTTAAAAGCGGATAGGTAGCTGGGTCCCATACTTCAATATCGGGCGAATATGGGATGTGAACAGTCTTCTGACAACTGCCGGACTGACACGTGAAAACGACCTGCGTAGAGCTTCCAGCATCCTGTTTGAGGCGGCGACGTTTATCAGTGTCTTAGGAGGTTCAAGTTCACGTGCCGCGATAACCACGAATCCCTCTCTTGGGAAGGTATCCGTCAATATGATCCACACCGAATGAATCGGTGTTACCAATCGGAATTATAGCACGTTTGTAGTAGTTACAAATAGTTGCCACTTGAAGGACCAATCGTACAGTTAATCCAACGGCGTTTGGGGTCTGACCAAGCCCGTACACCCGTGAAGTCCGTGCTCCTGGTCGGCTTGAATTATTCCCCGCTATCCTTTCTCCACACTATCGCAGTCTTGTCACTGTACGCTTATTCAAACAGGATTTACCCGCCCTACACAGTGATCCAGCATACGTGCAAATATCTGGGCCATCACTAACCGTTTCTAATTGCATCGGTGATGAAGCGCAAGTGGTTAACTCAATCACCTTGAGCCGACTGCTTTTCTGTATGACAGCATTCGATACAGAATTCTCGAGGCAGGCCGAAAAGATTAAGCTTATTCCGATCCAGCGTTTCTCATCACAGCCGTAAAAGATTTTGTTACCCAAATCTGTGTTCCGCCCCTTGTTCAGATTCAGTTAGAAGGTTCCAGTCACTCGTCATTCCTTGTGGCAATGTCAGCCAGAGCGCCTCCATAACCCACCACACCAACCGCGTTCCCACTCCGACCGCTCTTTAGACCTCGCAACCACCACGCTCGCCTGACCCAGGTGCGCCTCTATCAAAGCTGGAAATGTACTGAACGCTAACCAACCCACTGGGTCAGGTAACGACACCAAGTTGAATGGCAGAAATGCTAAAGCGAAAAGACTCCGATCGAAAGGCATTTGAGGGTCAGGAAAATGTCATTGAGTAGTTAAAACCGGTCTGGCCTACTCGCACTCTTTGGAATGGTGTCATACGAAATGTGCAACTGGGTCCCAACAACAGTTATAGGAACAAATTAACTCCCAAGAAGCGCTTTGGTTCCATACTGCGTGCTCCACCATCCAGTTCGTTAAGGACTAGCTTATCCAGCCTCAGCTTGGCGACAGGTTAGCAGCAGAAACCGCGCACAGTTTAAACGATAAGGTGGCTTCAATGGAAGAGAGGATGCCCCACGGAAGGTTAGCGGCTTCTAAGCAACGGAATGCTGCACAGTGCGTTTCCCCTGAAATGAAATCAGCCACGTCCTCATCTCCGTGGTCTTCACCAAATTTGGTAGCACTCCGGGCGAAAACAGACTGCAGTTACGACAGTCCAACCTTACTCAAGGCACCGGAAATCAGGCGCCACTCAGAACGTCTGGTTAAGTAAATTTCACTGGACCTGGCATCTACCATTAACAAGAACTCAGCAGCGTAACACCAACCCGCGGTACCAGTTCCTCAACTGTCTTTTGTCGAGCTAAGTCACCCCGGAACATCAAGTACACATGCAGAGATCGCTGCAATGGATCACCGGGAGGCTGCAGTTGCAGTCACTTATGTTGGAAACAGCGTTAACGGGAATAGTGGGACAAACAGTAAACAATCCACACATGTCCGCAGGTCAGGACAAAAGAATAGCATACCTTGCAGCCCAACGATAAAGGGATCCAACAACAGCGCCTGGACTGTTGTATGTTCAAATATCCCTGAAGCTGCAACCATCACATGGCGGGATAAGTTAGCGGACGAGGAGGAACAATAGTACTCATTATGCGTGCAGATGATTGGCAACGCCAAGCCCATATACTTATTACGGATTACTCCTCTTCCGAGCTCGCCACACTGTGGAGAACATGGCCTCATTCCAATAACATTAGAATCCACCACCGAAGTAGAAAACCTTTTGCTCTCCGAGAGCGCGCCAAAACCCGGATTCTGTAGGTTACACATTTATCCTGATGTCCTTTGGAACGCGCGATAGCCAAAAAGCAACATCGAGGAGGGGCACAGCAAGCAAAACCGCCTAAACACAACCTATA